GAATCCTGCAAAGTGTATGTATACCATACGGTTCAACGTGGTCTCTCTGAAGGTTATTTATACTGGCTCTACTTTCAAAAGTTGAATATCACCAAATATTCCATTGTGTTCTTCCACTTTTTTCAGTAGGCTCATCATGACTGCAACACTGAGGCTGAGAAGAGTGTCGGTCTTTGATCACATACACTTTGTAAACATAGCTTTTGTCTTCATAATCGTGTCTATGTTAAACTGGCTCATGCAGTTCAGAATATCTCTAGGGATAATCATAGAATCATAGGATGAGAAGGGACCTCAAGAGGCCATCTAGTCTGGTCCCCTGCACTCATGACAGGACTGAGTATTATCTAGCCCATCCCTGACAGGTATTTGCCTAACCTGCTCTTAAAAATGTCCAATGATGGAGATTCCACAGTCTCTCCAGGCTGTGTCAAATTATTTCAGCTGTGGGGACAGGGGGGTAGAAGGTGATTGTAAGTCCCTTTGGAGATGACAGGTTGCAGAAACAGAAGGAAAGAAGTAGCAAAGGTTGCAAACAGACGGAACAAAGCAACAAAGGTTGCAGGATCGATCTCATCAACATGCCACTCTTCAATGCCCCCAGAGAACTAATGTTTTGATAGACCTACAGAACGGACAGACCAGAAGCAGTATTTTGCAAGATTTCGAATTGCTGCAAAACTTTATAAGGAAACTGAAGATATACTGGTATCCTCTTTAATTTATGCTATGGGGAAGCAGGCAGAGCAAACCTTTTACCTTTATTGAAGACAGTCACAAAGATGACTATGAAAGAGTTTTGGCTATGTTTGATGCATAATTTATAGCATTCCTCTGAGCACACAATCAGATGCTGGCCTCCCTTAATGCAGTGGAACTCTTGCATGTAGAGCCCCTGTGTCGCTTTCATTCATGGGTGAACTTTCCACGTGGCAAACTGGATTTAAACATTAAGGGTTGGGTCCCCCTAGCCATAGTAATCTTAACCTTGATCCTGCAGGGCTTCCCTTCCCACCTAAAAAGTGAGCCCTGTTTTACTATTATCCCAATCTGAATTCATTAAAAATCAGAGTGTAGTGTTCCCTACTAGCAATACCTCAGTCAAACATATATCCTTTTATTTCAGCAAAAAGAAACTTCTCTTCACACATTGATAAATATCTTCCTGACTGAAAGTCTGCTGGGGGGAAAAACGGATCTCATTTACTCTAAAGCTTTGAAAAGATCAATAAAAAAAAAGAGTAATTTTTCATGGGGCCTTTTTAGCCAACCAGAAGTGAAATTTGAATATTTTTTTCCAGAATGTTATTAAAACTATTGCAGTAGATAGGCCAATTTCTTACTATGTACGGAAAGACAACCAATAGAAGGAAGAAAGCACAATAATGACTGACCTAAATTATGAAATAATGTTCCCCTCAAAAATGAAAGCTATATTATTCCTAGGTTCTCTACAGTGGTTCTAATACACATGTAAAATGATAGGATACGAAAAAGAAACAAACAAAAGAACTTCTGGAGCTCTGTGTGTGTGTGTACACCCACACACCACACCCTTGTGTACACTCACTCTCTCCCCAGGGGGAACATTCTGCCTGCCGGAGGAGAAGCATGTATAACCCACTGGCGAGAATGTGTTATAGGTCTCCCTCTGTGCCGATCCACAGAGGATGCAAGTTGTTAAAGAGGACCCTAATTCAATCCCTGTTCTGTGGAGCCTGGCCATCACATGTACACACTGCTACACTTTTTCATTCCTCACATTTATACCAGTCCTCCCCAGATGTATGTCTGGTTGTGTGTGTGTGTGTGTGTGTATGTGTATCAATCACACACATGAGACTGCCATCCAGTGAGTAATATGCTGCATTTTGTAAAGGGGCATAGCAACAGGCTCACTGCCCCTGACTGTCAGGATCTGCCAGTAGACAAAATGTTTCTTCTGGAGTACATCTCCACACTTCTCCTAATGCAGGTATGTGCTTTAAAAGTACAATTCAACCCTACATCTGGGGACAAGAGAGTGAAAGAAAACAATTATAAAAAGGCATTGAAAAGTCCCTTACCAATTGTCATAACTTTGGAATGGTCAGAATTGTCTGGACTCAAGAAGTGAGTTATTTCCTTATTGGAAGAGAAATGAGTTGACATAGGACATAGAATCAGTAACGTATCCAAGCCTATTTATTTGCAACATATTCAGTTCCCTCAGAATATGGCTTTGAGAAAAAATATTACTTGAAAAAGCAGAGCACATCTGTGAATCAGAATCAAGGCATTGTTCTGAGAGCAAAGGACAGGTTCAGTGTAGCAGTGTTAAGGCCACACCTCCTTCCCTCTGGCAATGTCCCACATTCGGTGCCAGGTGTATGTCAGCTCTTAGTTATCCAAGATGCCTATTGTGGAGAGAGACCATGAGAGGGACAGAGAAAGGGAGAGAGAACGCCAAGAGCATTGGGCCTCGTGCAAAATTTGAGGCCTGAACCAAAGGCTATAAAACAAAGTCAGACCATGTATTAAAGCAAATGCTTACAAGTTCACTGACCAGTATATGAACACGGCAAAGTTGTTGCTAATGCACTAGGCACTAAATATTTACATAAATATATTCCAGCAAGTAGAATATACATCCCAATCTAGTACAAGATAAGATGATTTGACAAAATAATTAATAGGAATGTTTTGCCCAAGATATCAGCCCAAAGGGAGGTAACAAAGATGTCATGAAATACATAAGGTAGTGTATCAGTTGTGTATTCCAGTTGTTTGAGTCAGTCTATAGAGGTCAGGGTACCCTGCCTTAGCCCTTTGTGTGGCCAGAAACTACCACTGCTGACTGAGCCACTCCTTGCCAGGGGGCACTCACGTTAGCGTACCTGTAACCATGGAGCTAGGGTGCTAGGACTGTGCCTCGAGGGCAATAAACCTAGGAAAGTGCCTTTGTCACCAAACCGTGCCAGTGGTCTTTCTTTATGAGTAGCATCCAGGCCTGCTGAATTAACATGCTGCACTATCTACTAATAACATTGGTGCTCCAAGAGCAGAAGCACTGAGCATTACTGCATTACAGCATTACCGAGGCAACAGCCTTCCAGCTTCCAGCACTTAACCACACTGGGTGGTACTATCAAGGTCTGCTAAGCCAGCTATCTGTGCAGAGCTGAACAGAACACTGAAAGAACACATACACACAAACCCACTGACGCACCTCTTATGCAAAGGGAATCCCCAAGTAGCTGTATAAGCTTGATTTCCAGTTGCTTTGCACTGGCAGAGCGGGGCATATGAGCCAGATGGTAGTGGATCTGGCTCAATAACTGCAAATACCTAAATTGCTGTTAATTTGTTTGCTTGTGCTCAGACCTTTTTGGATATAAGAGGTGCATTGTGGGGTGTAGCATGTTTCTTAGTATTTCTGAGAGTCTCTGGAATACAAGTGATTTCTGATCTGGTGCTGTAGTTGTAGGGCCTGAGAATAAAGAAATACTATTTTTTCCACTAAAAATTTTGTTTCCAGTTACTGAACTGCCATCCTTTCAGATTTTAATGTTATCTTTCTGAGTTTTATGCTCCAACTCATTTTCAGTGGTAATGGTTTTTATGGGAATAAGCACCAAAAGAGCAAAATCTGATGATGTTGGACACGCAAGTGTGGCTCACACTGAAATCAATGAGAGCCACACAGAGAAACTGGGAAAAGATCAATCAAGATTAATGGAGCCTATTTCTAAATCCGTTAATTCATGTAGTTTGGTGAGAGAGATGCAGCATGAGAGTTTTTAATTGTGAAAGTGTATGACATATCTCCATCTTTACAGTACATCTTTTTATTTTATAGAAGTGTAATATATCATTATGCAAGATATGCTCATAAAATAAAGTTAAAAAGCATTGAGTTTCAGGAATTCCAAATTATGAAGAATTTGAGAACTGCTGGCATGAGGAAATATAGAAACTGTCTTTCCACAGGAACAAGCTTGGGGCCAGATCCTCAGCTGGTGTAAATTGGTTCAGCTTTGTTGACCCCAGTGAAACTAAATCAAGTTACATCAGGTAAGGATCTAGCCCCTGATGCCTTAAATTTTCCCCTTGCCTTACAGGAAAGGATTGTCTTTTTTTAAAGGAACCCAGTGGTATCTGATGGTATTCACCCCATATAGGGCATGAAGTTCCCAGGAGAAATGGTGGAACATTTGACATATCCACAAGTATTTTATTAATAAACACACATAACAAACAATGAACCTCCCCTTGATATCATTGTGCCTAATGAGCGTTAATATACATATAGTCAATGCAAGACAGAATAGAACTCTAAAACAGAGACTGTTTCATGTAGTAGTGTGACCAGTTACTAACAACACCAGAGAGAAATGCCTACCTTTAAAACTGTCTGCAGTATGGCAGAATGTTTTTATACTATATAATACAGCATAACATATACTGCAAAGAGCTAAGGTAACTCAATGTAAGTAATCAAAAGAAATGTGAAGTTAGATATGTATCAGTCCAAGTGTCTACTTTCTTGTCATTTGCAATGTACAGTACATGTTGTATGCATGTCTGCTGTGTACTGTATGTTTGACAGCATGCTATGGTACACGTTGCAAAAGACTAGAGAACTTAAATTACTTTAGGTCAGTTTATTCCTTTCACTGAAAGCAAGCAAGCAAGAAAGAAAAGAAGTTAAAATGCTAAGAGGATCAACTGAATCAACATCCCTGAGCGAAATGTGGGAAAAAATAAATCAAAATGAGGACAGAGATAGGCATCATGTTTTTTCTTTCAAGGATAAACAGAGTGCAAAACTTTGAACATCCCTTCTGGTGTTTCAGCTTTTCACATCTAATTCTTTAAACCTCCATTATATCAGCTTTGCCAATTAGTTTTATAAAGATTTTGTCACCTGCCATTGTAAACTCCTAGTATTTCTCATTTTACCAACGTGACAACTGCCCCTAACACTTATAAATATTGAAGATCATTTTCTGCATAATTACCTTGTGAAGTCTGTCATCTCCATCATAATCACACACATCCTCTTAGCCAAAACTATGATGTCATTGCTGGTGTCATCCCATATTTCAATCTCTGCATCAAGCTTCCTTTTGACTTTCTTGAAGTCAGCCACTTGCTCAGCTATCTTTTCTTTTTCAGCCTCTGGCAGCTGAGTCATCTTAGCCTGAAACATAAGATAATTTGATTTGCAAAATGCACGTCTGTTTCTAAGAGTAATTTCTTTTTGGCAAAATCACTGGACATTACTAAATATATGTTTTAAATATACATGGGCCCGAACCAACACCTCCAATCTGAACACCTTTCAATTTCATAACTGGGCCTTATCTCTAGAACAATATGAAGTGAAATTCTGAAATGTAATACTCCTGAATTTTGAGTAGATCCAAATCAAATTCATGCTTTGAAGTTCAAGTCCATCTCCAATACTCACCTTCTAACCAAAGATGACGCCTCTTATTTTTTAATGGTAATCATCAATTGTCTTTGGAACTTTTCTGCAGGGATTCTAACAATGGGAAAAGTCAACCTCCATTCTATGGTCAGTTCTCATCTCCATTAAGAAATTCATGATGAGAAGCATATCAGAATCGCCAGTCAGCTCAAATAACAAAACTCTGAGCGCAAGCTACATCTAAAAGGACTAAAATATTAATTATTGTACCTATGAGAATAATAGTAAAAAAAACCCCATCAAACCCACATATGCAAAACTCTGAAGATGCTGATGTCTTCTTGAATATGAAGGTGATCTGGGTGAATGCAGAAACAAATTGCTAATCATTCTTGTAAATAAAGCCCACTATTCTGCTTTGCCCTAGTTTGTGGCCCTTTTTACTCATTTTTTCTGCAAACTTTTACGCAAATGATTTTTTCTTTACCAGAATATTCAAACACAAAAGCATCCTGAATACCAACATATAGTGCCCTGCCAAATTCACAGCCATGAAAAACATGTCACAGATTGTGAAATCTGGTCTCCACCCATAAAATCTGGTCTTTTCTGTGCTTTTACCTTATACTATACAGATTTCACGGGGGAGGGGGCAAAGAGACCAGCGTTTCTCAAATTGGGGTTCCTGACCCAAAAGGGAGTTGCAGGGGGGTCGCAAAGTTATTTTAGGGGGGTCACGGTATTGCCACCCTTACTTCTGTGGTGCCTTGAGAGATGGATGACCAGAGAGCGTCGGCTATTGGCCAGGCACCCAGATCAGAAGGCAGCGCCCTGCCAGCAGCAGCACAGAAGTAACTGTGGCAATACCATGCCATGCCACCCTTGCTGCTGCCTTCAGAGCTAGACAGCCAGAGAGTGGCGACTTCTGACTGAGGGCCCAGCTCTGCAGGCAGCAGCGCAGAAGTAAAGGTGGCAACACCATACCGTGCCATCCTTATTTCTGCACTATTGCTGGCGGTGGCTCTGCCTTCGGAACTGGGCTTCCAGCCAGCAGCCACCGCTCTCCCCTGCCCAGCTCTGAAGGCAGCACCGCCGCCAGCAACAGCGCAGAAGTAAGGGTAGCAGTACCGCAAGCCCCCCCCCCCCCCCCCCATAACCTTGTGACTCCCCGCCCCACTTCCTTTTTGGGTCAGGATCCCTACAACTACAACACTGTGAAATTTAAGATTTAAATAGCTGAAATCATGAAATTTATGATTTTTTAAATCCTATGACCATGACATTAACCAAAATGGACCGTGAATTTGGTAGGGCGCTACTAATATATATCTATGATTGTATTCACACCAGAAATGCACTTGCAGCTATTTTGAAAGCTATTTGTGGTTCAAAGCTGGACAGGGCCCTGTAAAACTGAGTAGGAGGAAGCTCTACTGTTCAATTCTTCCCCCCCCCCCCCCCCATTTAACTGGTTCTGCCACCAGAATTTCTTCTCACTGAGAGAGAACGTGTGCACATGCTACCGTATGTATGTACTGTGCCCTGGAGTCAAGCAATGACAAGACAGGTCAGGAATACTCATCTGACCAAATTAACTATTTTTGCTCTTGTAGGCTTCGTTTCCATCCTTAGTTTTTGAAAGATGTGGGGACATCCTTTTATACAAAGCAAGGCCCAGCAACTCAAATCTAGAGCCCTGCAAGCAGCAAGAAAAGCAGAAACCACAGCATTGTCATCCTCGTCATACATTGCTACACAAACTAATCAGAAGCCACAAACCATATTACAGGATTCCCTCATAAACTTAGACCAGCGGCAGAAAAGTATCATCATCACAGAGAGCGGAAGTCATAGCTGCCAGTTGCTCCAGGAGCTCTTTTCTGCTTAGCTTCAGTCCCAGTGTGGTTTAGTAACTTAGGCAAGTATGTTGGTCTTTTCAACAGCAAAGTACAGAGGCTCAAGGGAATACAAAGCAATTTTCCACATGCAGCAAAAGAAATGAAGGATGAAGAAATGCATCGGAAAATGGAGATTCTCCCACCCACCCCTTTTGTCGATTATACATGCATACAGAGATGCAGATGAAAAGAATTGTAACATAATTAAGCTCAATAACAATAAAACAGTGGGTAAAGAGAAATAATTATGACATGCTGCCTGGCCCTAGTACCACTTGCCTACTATTGAGACCAATACTCATACTCTATCTCATCCATTATCTTTGTGGTCCTAACACTGGATGAATCCACTTGGAGCTTAGAGACAATGAGGACAAGCCAAAAGTCCTCCAGACTGTTCCAAAAGGAACACTCTCCACAATCTGATCTGCCACATCCTCCTCCGAGAGAAGTACAGTAGCAGGTTTGGATCAGGCCCCTGCAAATGCACACAGCCATCAAGCCAATAAACTTATGCTCCCATTTGTTAATGTCTCTATCTGCCTGAGGAGGTAAGCGGCAATGGCCTCTTTAAATCCTGGGTCCATGAACAAAAAAAAGCCAAAAGTATAATGTCCTTGAGTATGTATTCATCTGAGGCAACACACAGCACTTTTGAGGGCAGTTCTAGACCTTTGTTGTCGTTTGCCTGATCATACCATGCAGAGAGGTCACATTTTTCTCCAATAGAAAGATCAGTGGAATGCACTGGCTAATATTAGAGTCATCGCTGCTGATGAACCTCAGGGCAACTGTCAAAGGCCCTCAGAATGTCACAATATTCTTATATGAAATAATGTTGTATGAGAGATGGAAAATATACCACAGTTGCCCATTTTTCAGAGTAGCAGCTGTGTTAGTCTGTATTCGCAAAAAGAAAAGGAGTACTTGTGACACCTTAGAGACCAACAAATTTACCTGAGCATAAGCTTTCGTGAGCTACAGCTCACTTCATCGGATGCAGTTGCCCTTGTTACCTCTGTAGCTAGAGAGCTTAGGCATTGAGACAATCAAATAAAAAATACACACAGAGAGCTGACTGCGCTGACGTGCAATTAGGATTGTGCAAGTACATACAAATTACTGAGTGTGAATGTGACAGGAGAAAAAATGGATAAAAAGCTGCGAGTGAATATGACTTATGTGTCTTTCTTCCGAAATCATGAAGGAGTCCAGTCTTTTAAAATAAGGGATACATATACACAGCAAAATGTAATCCTCTTTCTTGTTGAAAAGAGTAAAAGAAAAGGTTTAAATGTCCTAGAATTCTCCACACTGGCTTGCCACCTGCCATTTCTCTCTCTCTCTCTCCCTAAAATGCTCCCCCACCTTCATCTTAAGAACTGAGATCCAATAATTCATTTAGGCCCTTATCCTATTTAGAAAAATTAATTAATCCGATCAGGATTTTAAAAAAAAAAACAGACACTAGCATGTGACTTAGGTAACCAGATTAATGCCTTGAGCAGCAAATCATAAATATTGCATACTCAAATGAACAGTCTTGGGGCTCTGGCTGGGCAGAGGAATAACCATCATATACTTGATTGCAGGATGGGGCCAGAGTGAGTAGTTCACAAACAATCCATTTAGGGTTGCCAATTTTTGTTGGATGTTTTCCTGGAGGTTTCATCACATGACATCATCTTTAATTAAAGATTAATCTTTAATTCCTGGAGACTCCTGGACAAATCTGGAGTGTTAGCAACCCTAAATCCATTGGCTAGAAGTGTTCCAGACAAAGCATTTAATCAGATACAAACTGAGAATAAATATGTACAAATTACTGTGTGCTGACAATTTGAAAACAGAAAAGGGGGCTAAATGTTGTGAGGGAACCCAGCTGGCAGTTTTAGTCCAGTAGGGTTTATCTTGTAGGATGGGGAAGGTGTCGGGGTATGTTTTTATATCTGGGCCTTTGAGTCTGAACACAAGGGATCTATGTTGATTCCCCATGTTCCTGTATTTAACTTTTACAGTATGGAAAATTCTGAGCATTTTATATATTTAAATGGTGACTTAAATCTTTAAAGGTTTCTTTTGTTCCTGAAGGGATATTAAGGTATGTCCTACAGCCATCACCACACCCAGAAATATAGCGTAAACTCCTTTTAGAGAATTCTCTGGAAAAGGGATTCTTAGATTGCTTGAACTGCCCAATATCCTGTGAGAGAAAGACTGCCACTCCTATAGTTGTTTCATTAAAATAGATCTTGATTTGATTGCATTTGGTTGATTTCATTTTTAACATCTCCTGGTAACGCAGAGTGCTGGCAGTTAGAAGCTTTTAAGGGCTACACCCCCCCGCCCTTTATGAGCAAGATTGTCAGTTAGCAATCTGCCCCAAGTAACATTCAGCATGTAATTGAACGGGCCCAGGAGCACAGCAGGGAACTGACTGTAACTCAGAGTCACAATGTGACCCCAGGTTCCACCTTGCTTCACAGGGAAAATAACCTACCATGAGTCAGTATCAGAAGTAGATTACCTCCCCTGCCCTGCTGACTCAGCAATACTTGCTGGAGCATTAGGAAGAGGTAAAGCCAAGGACCCGTCCACTTCCCAGCTCCAGAAGGAGGGGGAAGTAGTGGCACTGTGCTATTCCCCCCACTCTTCCCCTGGGTTTCAAGCCAGTGCAAACATTCCAAATGTGTCCAGTGTCACCTGAAAATTAACATCTATGGAATTTGTTAAAAAATATGTAAGGTGAAAAGTTACCTTACTTATGGGGGACTCACAAAAATATTGAAAATGTGCTCCCCACACATATTATTCTAAAATACATTTTAAATAAAAAGTCATTAATCTGATAAATGATGAATATTGGCTGCA